TTTAGCTTTCCTTTCTGAAATCACCATGAAACTATGCCCCTAACAGATCGTGAGTCCCTCGCTGCATCTTTCTCCATAGTCTCTGCGAGTTCTGTTATTGGAGTACGTGTCCTGTCGGTCTTCGAGGGTCTATAATTTATATGTATAAATTTAATATATATATAATGTATTCATTTATAAGTATTCGTATATATATGCATGTTGCATTTTTAGACAGGCAAAATTTACCTGAAAGCAGAAAAGAGCAAGAGTTTGCCATCTGCCTTCATGTGACTATTTTACCTAATAATGGGTGCCTAGGGTAAAAGTATGCTGGCGCAATGGCAGGGTTCTGGGTTGGTGACTGTAGTAATTTATGACCTTTATTAGAAGAATCTGGGGGGAAATACCTAAATTCTTTCTTTCTTCTCTCCTAGAATCTGAATCGGAGGGTGAGGAAAATTAAATGGCTCAACAAGCACAATACCTAGGTTACCACACACCACTTTTTGATTGGGAATGCTGAACCATTTGAGAAGAGAAACTTGGCTTCTGTTTTCGCAAAGGAAAAAATATAGGATAGGCTTCTCTTGTGCAGAGGGAGAAATGGTTTTGTTTTTGTTTTGTTTTTAAATGGAGCCCTGAGGCATCACCTATTATACTTGGGACTCTACCTCTCACTCACTATATGCTAACTTAAAGCCATTCAACAAGGAGTCAAGTAGGAATCTGAAATTAAATACTCAACAGACTCCTCTTTTTTTAGCTGTATTTTTCAGGTACTGTGTGGTGCCCGCCCCACTGGTGTCTATTACAGGCCACTTTGGTAGTTGTGTATCTGCTCATGTATGTGATTTGACAAACCAGTTTTTTAAAATAAATGGCTTTTTAAAAATCTGGGCTTATATTGTCAGAGCTTTTATTTCTTTCCTGTACGTAACTTCTTACACAGATGGTATTTCGGTGTTTTTTTCTCTTCCCATCCACAATATTGAATGGTTATATTTCTTGTCATCTATTAAAAACTATTCTACTCATGCCTGTAATCCCAGCACTGTGGGAGGCCGAGGCGGGCGGATCACGAGGAGGTCAGGAGATCGAGACCATCCTGGCGAACACGGTGAAACCCCGTCTCTACTAAAAATACAAAAATTAGCCGGGCGAAGTGGCGGGCGCCTGTAATCCCAGCTACTCCGGAGGCCGAGGTAGGAGAATGGCGTGAACCCGGGAGGTGGAGCTTGCAGTGAGCCGAGATCGCGCCACTGCACTCCAGCCTGGGAGACAGAGCAAGACTCTGTCTCAAATAAAATAAAATTAAAAAAAAAAAAAACTATGCTATTTCTCTCATCTCATGAGTAATACATTTCAGTTATCCTCATGGCAAAGGAGAAATTAACCCCAAAATACATGCACATTGGTCTTATTAATAATACCGTGGTTATATTATTAATAATTAAGCATATAAATATATGTTCCACATTGCTGATGTTTTTCTCAGCACTATTTTCTCCCCACTTAGAGGAGAGCTAAAGATTTATGTATATAGGTTTAGGTCTTTGTTTATATTTATTTATGACTAAGTTATTTTATCCTTTAAGTTATTCTTCTCTCAATAGTATTAATAACAGTACAAAACATCTGAACATTTCGGAAAACTTTATACAGAAGTCTTTTTTTTCTTTTTTTTAACTATTGAAAAGCTTAAGGTACTGCCTGGTGCTAGCCTGATGGTAATCTCTTAAGAAGGAAACATTTTATCTAAGACTAGAAGCAAAAGGATGATACATCAGTAACCCTTGTACTCATTCAGATAAGCAAAAGGAAAATTGTCATTGTATCATCATCATCCTGTATCTAAAGAGGGTTTTCTGATTTCCTGTTTGTCTTCAGAAAAGAAAAATATTTTCCCTATGACTTGACCACTATTTATAACCATAAAATTATAGATCATTTTCTCTTTTTTTGAGAGGGGCTGGCGCCCTCTGTGGTCCAGGCTGAAATGCAGTGGCATGATCACAGCTCACCGCAGCCTCAACCTCCCAGGCTCAAGCGATCCTACTTCAGCTTACCAAGTAGCTGGGACTACAGGCACGTGCCACCACACCCAACTAATTTTTAAGTTTTTTGTAGTAATGGGGTTTCACCATGTTGCCCAGGCTGGTCTTGAACTCCTGAGCTCAAGCAACCTGCCCACCTCAGCCTCCCAAAGTGCTAGGATTACAGGTATGAGCCACTGTACTGGACCAGTCTTCCCATCTTTTAAATATTAAACATTTGATAAATGTCTTTCTTTCTGCGTAGTTAGAGCACTGTCAAGTTCTCTGTCCCAGCTATGGACAAAGTAATATCTGTTTAAATAGATATGTTTTTGTTTTGTTTTGTTTTTTTGAGACTAAGTCTCGCTCTGTTGCCCAGGCTGGAGTGCAGTGGTGTGATACCGGTTTACTGCAACCTCCACCTCCTGGGTTCAAGCGATTCTCCTGCCTCAGCCTCCCTTTGAAAAATCATCTATATGTGAGAATGCTATTTTCATTGCACAAGAAATAATGACAGGACAACTGTGGTCAAGAAGAAAGTCATAGAATAAAAAGCTTATGTCACCTTGGAGTGCTTAGCATAGCCCTGGAGGTAACATACGTATTCTTTCCTAAAATTGACCTACTAGATAATGTCCCTTTTTTATATCCTGATTTTCCTTCATGGTTGCCTTCCTCCTATTTTATAAAAGAAAATACTAATGCATCCATTCCAATGTGGTACACTGCCCCAAGGATGACAGGCAGATGGCGCTAAACAAAGGGACAGTTGTAGAATGTGTGGCTCTTTTAGGCTAGTCCCGTGAGAGAAAAGCTGGAAACTGATGGGAGAGGTGGCTGATTTCTAACAGGCCATCAATTCGTGGCAAGTCTCCATTATCTGTCTACTCTTCCATCTATCTTTTTTTTTTTTTAGAGGCAGAGTCTTGCTCTGTGACCCAGGCTTTAGTGCAGTGGCACTACCTTGACTCACTGCAACCTCTGCCTGGGCTCAAGCGATTTTCCTGCCTCAGCCTCCGGAGTAGCTGGGATACAGGCGGGAGCCACCACACCCAGCTAATTTTTGTGTTTTTAGTAGAGGTAGGGGTTTCACCATGTTGGCTAGACTGGTCTCGAACTCCTGACCTCAGGTGATCCACCCACCTCGGCCTCTGAAAGTGCTGGGATTACAGGCCCGAGCCACTGTTCTTGGCCCCCTTCCATATATCTAAAAATTATAATTTTGAAGATAAATAGTAATTACACCATGTATGTCTATTAATGTGCTTATTTGAAATGAAAAAATGCAAAATTTTAACTGAAAAATAAACTTGGCCAACTAATTTGACACATCCTGACTGCCAGTTAGGATACATGGCTAGAATATTCTATAAATTGAAAAAGTTAAATATCATATCTAATATATTGACAAAATTTAAAGATGAAATATTGAAAACATGCTACAAATGTTATGTCAACTTTTATGTGTTTTTACGTGTCAATGTGTAAGAGAGTTATTCCTCCACTTTAGCAGAATATGAGTAAAAAATGTGAGCCAACAACTTTGTTGGCTCCAGCATTTCCAAGGTAACCAAAAAGCATAGTCATCCAAGGGCTTAGAATGGAACCAACATGGAACTAGAAGTCTATGGAATACTACTTAACATTTTCCAGCACAGAGTATTTTTCCCAAACAAAACTTGAGATAGCGATTGTAAGGTCAGCACGCATTGGGAAGGGAGATGAATGCTCAAACAGCAGGGACTCAATAATGAATCCTCAAACCAAAAGCCCTGTCTTTCTCTGAAAGACAATTTCCTGTTTTTTGTTTGTTTTTATGTAAAACCAGTTTCTATTTTAAAAGTAGTTAAGTTAGTTATCCATTGCTGTGGAACAAATTACCCTAACATTTGGCCATTTGGCAGCTTTAAACAATAAACATATGTGATGCCACAGCTTCTGTGGGTCTGGAATCTGGAATCTGGGACTGGCTTGGCTGTGTAGCTTCAGCTTAGCCTCATGAGGTTGCCATCAGGCCATGGGCTGGAGCCACTGTCCTCCCAGGGCTCTAGAATCTGCTTTCAGGGGACTCACAAGGTTGTTGGTGGACCTCAGTTCTTGCTGACTTTTAGCCAGAACCTCAACTGCCTGAGTGACCTCATGACATAATCGCTGACTTCCTCCAGATTGAGTGATCTAAGAGACAAGGAGCCCAAGCAGGAAGTCATCTTTAATAACCTAATATTGGAAGTGACATAACATCACTTCTGCTATATTTCATTGGTTACATAGACCAACCCTGTATAATGTATAAGAGAACTGAATGAGAGTGTGAATACCAAGACATCAGGATAATTTAAGGCCAACCTGGAGACTGGCTACCACAGTAGTTAGTACATACACAAAAATAATTTCTGGATAAATTAAAAACGTTCACCTTGCCAGGCATGGTGGCTCACACCTGTAATCCCAACACTTTAGGTGGCCGAGGCTGGAGGATCCCTTGATCCCTTGATCCCAAGACCAGCCTGGGCAACACAGTGAGACCTCATATCTACAAAAGTTAAACAAACAAACCTGGGCATGGTGGCACCACCTGTGGTTCCAGCTACTCTCGAGCCTGGGGCAGGAGGATTTGCTTGAGACCTGGAGGTCGAGGCTGCAATGAGGTGTGATCATGCTATGCACTCCAGCTTGGGTGACAGAGTGAGACCCTGTCTTTAAAAAAAAAAAAAATTAAAAATTAAAATTTTCACCTAATGGTAAAACAAAGCACTAAAAAAAAAAAAAAAAAAAAAAAAAAAAAAAAAAAAAAACAGAGAAATGTCTTTATAGCCTTCACATAAAACAAGACACAAAAGCAAAAAATAAAAAGCTCTGAATATGGAAAGTTTAAAATGTGTCTATACTGAAAGGCATATGAATGATAAACACCAAATACATATGAGATCAGTAGAGCTTCAACAGATAGATAAAAATAACAAAAGAGTTAATACAATATAAACAGCTTCTATAAATTAATAAGAAAAAGAATTTAACTGAAAATATACAAAGAGTATGATGAGTCAATTCAAATGGATAATTAAAATGAAAAGATGCTCAACCTTACTGTTAATTGGAGATGTACAACTTAATAAAGTCAGAAAAAAAATTACTAAAATCAATAACATTGGTTGTATGAAAAGTGAGTTATTTTTACATATGCCTTTACAGTTACAATCTGGCAATAAACGTCAAGATTTTTTAAATGCATGTCCATTGATCCACCACTCTATTTCTAGAAATCATTCCACAGTTGTACCCAAAGACCTATGTGCACTGATCACTGTATTAGTGATAGCCTGGTAGATGTAAAATGTGTATAAGAAAAACACCACCTGGCTGGGCATGGTGGCTCACACCTGTAATCCCAGCACTTTGGGAGGCCAAGGCAGGTGGATCACCTGAGATCAGGAGTTTGAGACCAGCCTGCAACCCAGCCTGGGCAACAAGAGAGAAACTGCCTCAAGAAAGAACGGAAGGAAGGAAGGAAGGGAGGGAGGGAGGGAGGGAGGGAGGAAGGAAGGAAGGAAGGAAATGACTACCTTAAAAATATCATGAATCTATATCATGGAACAATTTTTTTTTTCCTGTGGAATAAATTATCCTAACATTTAGCAGTTTTAAATAATGAACATTTTTAAAACATTTTTTCTGCCATAGTTTCTGTGGGTCAGGAATCTGGAAGCAGCTTAGCAGGGTGGTCCCATATATGCATTTCTATCAATCTATGACTCAACAATTTTAGAATACTGCTTGACATTTTCTAGCACAAAGTATTTTTCCCAAACAAAACTTGAGATAGTGATTTTAAGTTAAGGTAAACTAAAAAAGATGTTAATAATA